CCCCCCCCCCCTCAAAATTTTGTCCGCCTCCTGGAAACACCCACCTCCCCCCACCCCCCCCCCCCCCCCCGAAGAAAATATCTGAAATAAACGTTGGCTATAGAAGAAAATGGGCACAGTGTATTCCCCCCCCCCCCCTCAACACCATGAGTTGCAGCTTCCGTTTAGGCAAACACGGTTCATTTTAACCATGCTACAAACACGGTTAATTTTAACCATGCTACAAACACGGTTAATTTTAACCATGCTACAAACACGAGCGGGCGCCAATAGAAAGATTCGGTCTTTTACCGAAAGCACCATCCCCACACGTACGCACACATATTTATGATATTATGACAAAAATACTACTAGGCCTAAATATCTAGGCCTACACACATGCATACATAATTACATACAAACATACACACATGTACATATAAAAAATTCTTGACGAAAATATTTGACTTGACAAGAATTAAAAAAAAAAATTCAAAGGACCAAAAGAAATCGACAACCTGTACTTTTTACTGAAACAGGTAAATACCCAGTTATCTCCCGTCCTCAGAAAATATCGCAAGTCAAGTAGTAACGCTCAATAGCAAAAGTAAACGATTAGCTTACCCTAAGTTGATAAGTTAAAATTAATAAAATGAAAGATGAACTTATGTATACACATGAAAAACAAGGAATCTAATCTAAAAATAAAACATACAAACTACGTCAGCATGTCTGGGGTAAATACTTATATAGGGGAGGTAACTTTTATTTTTGACAACATAAAATGTTTTTTATATTAGATGTAGAATATGTGTTATAACTATAAAATATAAAATTATAAAAGTATTAATCATTATTTATTATTATTAACTTGAAGTTATAAAATATATTGATATATGTATTAATAAATTTTTAGACAAAATTCAAATTTATAAAAACCTTCAGGATATTAATTCAACATTATTTTTTATAAAAATATAAGCGTTGATATTTGCTGACTACACTATCCGATGAACAATAATTGAATTGTTCAGGACTTTTTCTGAAGGTTTCCGATGAGGGACCCAACACTTAAAACAAATGAATGGAAAGAAACCTATAAATAGAAACAGAATCCCAAACCACAATTATAAAAAATAGCAACCTTCTTCTTAAACGGACCCTGACCTAGAAATTAAAGATTGCGACCTCCATTTTTTCGTAAACTAACTTTTAAACCAGCTTCATCATCGTTTTAAGCAAAAGATCTAGACTAGATCTAATCTAGTATCTTGTTTTAGCCTCGAGCATGACGTATGCACAATCAGAACTTGTGTTTAAAAAAAAAAATCCTAATCAAATTCAGATTTTTCCCCCACAAGGTTCATATTTGGCCCTTGATTTCAACACACAATTTAAATTTACTGTCTTAAAATTATCAACTACAGACCAAATTCTAAAACTTCCGATAAGGTATTCTGTTTATAGGTTGTTGCTCGTAGTTTTTAAACTCCACTAAATTCAAATAAAATTATACCACAAAAAAAAAAAAAAAAAAAAAAAAAAAAAAAAAAAAAAAAAAAAAAAAAAAACTAGATTTTTTTTCCGCATTACATTGATACCAAATTTTGCGTCTCTAGCTTCATTAGGAGCTGAGATAATACGTTTTATGCGAGGTATAATTCCAGGTGAGATAATGTTAGGGAACCAGAATTAATTTGCTTTGTTGCATGATAAAAAAAATGCGAGAAATACATAATATTTTGTCACATCATTATTTACTATTTAGACTTAAAACTGATTTTTTAAATTTTCACTAGGATACTTGGGATATTTCAAATTTTTTTTGTTATGAAAGATATTTAATTTTTACAAATAACACTGGGTTAATTTTTTTTTGCACAATTGTTCTAAATGTTTACTTTTGTATAATCAGCAATTATCTCCATTTCAGCAGTCTATATTCAATTCATAGGGGCTTTCCAAAAATGAAACAACCTCCACCCACCCCTCACAATATGTCAGGCCCTACCACTGAAATGATGCTAGTTACAACTATGCCAGTGAAATGACCACAATTTTAATACAAGTTGACACATTTTAAATCAGTTCGTTTTCCAAAGAAAAACAAACATTACTAAGTCTAAAAATCTCCCCCCCCCCCCACATTGTATAGCAGACATTTCTACTGTGTGAGCTCTTAAAAGCTCCATCCCACCCCAGACTAGGGCCATCTTAAGCTCCATCCCACCCCAGGCTAGGGCCATTTTAAGCTCCATCCCACCCCAGACTAGGGCCATCTTAAGCTCCATCACACCCCAGACTAGGGCCATCTTAAGCTCCATCCCACCCCAGACTAGGGCCATCTTAAGCTCCATCCCACCCCAGGCTAGGGCCATTTTAAGCTCCATCCCACCCCAGACTAGGGCCATCTTAAGCTCCATCCCACCTCCGACTAGGGCCATCTTAAGCTCCATCCCACCCCAGACTAGGGCCATCTTAAGCTCCATCCCACCCCAGGCTAGGGCCATTTTAAGCTCCATCCCACCCCAGACTAGGGCCATCTTAAGCTCCATCCCACCCCAGACTAGGGCCATCTTAAGCTCCATCCCACCCCAGACTAGGGCCATCTTAAGCTCCATCCCACCCCAGACTAGGGCCATCTTAAGCTCCATCCCACCCCAGGGCCGTCTTAAGCTCCATCCCACCCCAGACTAGGGCCATCTTAAGCTCCATCCCACCCCAGACTAGGGCCATCTTAAGCTCCATCCCACCCCAGACTAGGGCCATCTTAAGCTCCATCCCACCCCAGACTAGGGCCATCTTAAGCTCCATCACATCCCAGACTAGGGCCATCTTAAGCTCCATCACATCCCAGACTAGGGCCATATTAAGCTCCATCACATCCCAGACTAGAGCCATCCTAAGCTCCATCACATCCCAGACTAGGGCCATCTTAAGCTCCATCACACCCCAGACTAGAGCCATCCTAAGCTCCATCACATCCCAGACTAGGGCCATCTTAAGCTCCATCACATCCCAGACTAGGGCCATCTTAAGCTCCATCCCACCCCAGGCCATCAATGGCAGGGCCATTATGATGGGACCAGTTTTTACCATATCACTATAGTCTTTTCTAAATAGGTAATTCATTACCTGCTCTAGTTGATAACATTAAAGACTATAAATATGACATTTATTACCTGCTCTAGTTTATAACATTAAAGACTATAAATATGACATTTATTGCCTGCTCTAGTTTATAACATTAAAGACTATAAATATGACATTTATTACCTGCTCTAGTTGATAACATTAAAGACTATAAATATGACATTTATTGCCTGCTCTTATAACATTGCAGACTATCTAAACTGTGTTTTTTTTAAAGCAAGAATCATAAGAAGACAGTACAAACAGAACACACAGAAGAACACATATTCAATACATTATGTTCATGTATTAAATATGTAGTATAGATAGGCCTACAACAGATACAACACAGATAGTAAGTACAAACACAACGCAGACAGTACAGATACAACCAATGTTTCCTCTAAGCTGTGCAGTTGTAAAGCCACACAGTAGTTTTGAGCTGCCGTGCAATCATTTTGTAAAATCCTTGCATAGATTTTTAGGACACAGTGCACACAAAGTACATGCTGCACACTACCTTTTTCCCGTTCGATAGAACATTGGATACAACACTTTAAATAACTTACATTCACCAGAAAGTACAGAAACAAATTAGACAGTACCAAGACAACAAATAGAAGATGACTGTACATGATACTATTGCAGTATGTCCAGAAAATATAATCTGGAGAAAAGCGAGTGTATAAATCTTATTTTCTTATTAAATATGTAAAAAACATTCAGAAACATCTGCAGCATAATTTTTTGTGACATTTAACATAAGTCAATGTTCTAGTAGCTTCTATTATTGCCAATATATGTATAATGTACATTGATTTCACAAAAAAAGTTGACAAACAACATTTACACAATTAAAATATTTAACACACAAGACAGTGCAGACTAGACATGAAGAAAAACCAACAAGCATTAGTCAGCAAGTAAAATATTTATTGCACATCATCACAAAAGGTGTAGTGAGCCTGTCATTGAGATTACACCTGACATTGGGGAATGTTACTTTACCTACCTGTCATGACATCATTTGCACAAACACACCAGGTGACACTTGCAGTTGCCATGGATACACAGATACCCCCCCCCCACGACTTCAAACACACACACACAATGCTCCATGTTAGTTACAAACTTCAGTTCTCATTTTACTACAAGTTTTAAATGTCATCCCCCACTACATTACCACTGTCACCCTCAACTGTATCACCACTGTCACCCTCAACTGTATCACCATTATCACCTTTCACTGTATCACCAGAATTTTATTTAAAAAAATATCAACAAAGAGTGCAGCCACTTCTTTTTTTTTTTGTAACCAAAGTTAGAACTCTTGTGTTTTCTTCTTTACAGCATTTGTATGGGTTATTCCAGTCATTTGCATCAGTATACATAACCAAAGTAATCCATCTTGCAGTCATTCTATCCTTGAACACATAATTACTTTAAACTATAAATTTACAGAATATACAATAACATTATTTTTCTATTTCTATTTTAATTTACCAAGCTTAACGATGGTTTAGTAAATGACCAGATAATACAGGAACTTCTAAAATGTTAAAGGAAACTTTCTCTGTGACGTCACCCAGTGCAGTAACTGAGAGGGTCACCTCATCCACGCCTCCAACAACTTAATATGGTTTGGTGTCACCTCTCTCCCTTCCTATGTAACTAGATAAAAAATTGTTTCAACAATAAACCTTCGTTTTTAGATTTGGCGTCACCCTCTAAATAGACTTAAGTTGTGTGGACCACACCCCTTTCTTGTGACGTTATTCATCACCAATAATGAGCTTACATTCCTAAATGAATTAAAAGCTATACCTCAATAACGTTCAGACAAAAGTTCAAAGTCCACTTTTGTGGACGTATTCGGATTCGAGGAATTAAAATGTGGTTGTCACAAAGAATGAGGCATTGATACGTCAGAAGCATCCCAAAACACTTTCATTCACAATTACATGTAAGTAAAAGAAATACTGCTGTATGTATTTACAAAGCTACTTTAAGCTTACATAAATGATCTCTGATAATTTTTCAGCCTGATGCTGAATTTCATGAGTTTTTGTTCAATAAGTTTTGATAGACATTGGTAAAGTAGTTTTACTGTTATATAATGAACTATTTAGCCGAGGCTTATAGGACTTGGCGCTGCCACTTTCAGCTCAAAGTTTTCATGCTGGAACACACCGGCGCTGGAGTGGTGGCCGCGGGGATTTTCTGGTTTCCCAAGTTCTGTGAGTATAGCCAGCTGTGGAGATAGACATTAGCATGAGAAGTCTATTCACACAATTTTGTGTGTAACAATCATTTGGGTGTCTATTCATGCAGCTTTTAACATATATTCACACATTTCTAATGTAAACCTCAGCATCAATGTGGCTATTTCCACAACTTAATTTTTTTATATATCAGCTTATTTAAATAATTTAAAAAGGTAATATCTAGTAAAGTACAGAAGCTCAAAAATTAAAATAATTATTGAGGACTTAAGTTAAAGAAAGAAAAATGAGTAGTTGTGTGGCTACATACACGAGATGGTGTCTTCATTGACTTCCTGATTGTTTCAAATGCCTGCAAGTGATGTGGGTCTAGAATCAACTGGAATAAAAAAAAACAGTTAAAATTAACAAGCTGCCCTGGTCAAATGTCTGTAAATGTTTCAAAGGAAAAAAAACACACAAGTCTTAGACCAGCCCTATATACAGCTTGATGTAAATTTAATTCACACCAAGCCAATCAACTTAATTTATGTTTAACCTGTCCACTGGATGACCCACCAGGTTTAACCTGTCCACTGGATGACCCATCAGGTTTAACCTGTCCACTGGATGACCCACCGATTTTAGCCTGTCCACTTGGTGATCCGCCCACCAGGTTAAACACAACCACCAGATGACCCATCAGGTTTAACCTAACCTCTACATGATCTACCAGGTTTAACTTAACAAACTTAGTTAAACCTAACCCATCAGGTTTAACCTAACCACCTGACGACCCACCTGGTTAAACCTAACCAATGGATGACCTATCAGGTTTAACCTAACCACAGCCTGACCCACCTCTGTGTGTTCTTTCTTCTCCCTCCTCCCAGCCTTCAGGTTTTGGTTAGGGTTAGACAAGGACCTGTGAAACCTGGAGCTGGTTATGTTGCGCGTGCGTCGTGTGTTGCTGCACTGATAACACACCCACACCTCCTCCCCATCCAGCACATGGATGGATCCCACAGCACGCAGGCAGGGGGTGTGGTACACATGACCACATCTGGGGGGGAGAACAATAATAACTGGATGGTGATTGGAAGACAGCTAGAACAATCTTATAAAAGGTCAGTTGTCAGTGAAGCAGAAACAGCTGGAATGACATGGACCCAACTTGGAGGAATTGCCCAGAACAGAATAAAATTGAGAAGTGTGGTTGCGTCCCTATGCTCCATAAGGGGTCCACATGAATCATGAGGATGATGATGGGAAGATGATGATGGAAGATGGTGCTCGAAAGATGGTAGCAGAAAGATGAGAGAAAAATGATGAGAGAAAGATAGTGATAAAAATTAGGTGAATGATGGTGACAAAAAGATAGTGGTAAAGGCTGATTGAAAAATGGTGGCAAAATATGATAGAAAGATGATGAATGTGAAAGAATGTGATAGAAGGACGTAATGGAAAAATGGTGATAGAAAAATTGTAGTAGAAACATAGAAGCTACTGAAAGGAGATAATCCATGTTTACTAATGGGAGATACCAAATGTCTCACAAGGGAGATTTCTAACAAATAGATAAGGTAGATTTCTAGCAACTACACTAGGCAGATTTCTATCAACTACACAAGGTAGAAACAGACCTAAAGACCAGCACTGTATCCCCAGTTGTTGAATCTGTGAACGTTTGATTGCACAGGTTGCAGGAGTTCTCTCTGGGAACAAATCCACGCGTGGCTGTCTGTGTCAGGCTGCGCAAGTGGACGTGGAGGTCGTGGTACAGCAGGTTTTTACATGTCTCCATCAGAGTCTGGAAGTATTGGCACATTTGTATGACAGAACTTCATGAGTCTTAAGTAGTGGAACAGTTGTACCGTACAGCTTAATAGGAGGCTTAAATATTAAAACAAATTTACTAATAGAACTTCATGACAGTCTCAAATATTAGAACAGCAGTACCTCAGAACTTAATACAAGTCTAAAAAATTAGAAAATATGGAGCTTTATAGAAGTCTCAAGTACTTGAACATTAGTTCTATAAAACTTTATCTTAAATCTTTGTACAATGAAACTTTATAGGAGTCTTAAATACAAAAATACTGAATCTTTTCTAAAATATAAATTTGTGTTTGGTCTCCAAGAGGCTGATATAACATCTTCACAATCCTTTTCATGTATACCCTACATACAACATAATATTGTTTTATCCAATTAGTTTGACATGTACTCATCTTGGGATGTACACCCCACATTCAACATTTAGCTGAGTCAGCATGACATAACATAGAACCTGAAGCCTTACCTCCTCATAGTTGTAGTTCTCTAGCATGCCAATGATCAGTTCCTTGACTTCCCCAAACTTCCCTGTATTGTAGGCAGGATCCTAATGGTAGATAAACCAATACAAATATTCACATTTAATGATGAAAAGTGCATAAAACATTAACGTTTCATTCAAACTTGGTATTCAATTTTTAAAAAATGTCATCTAAATAATATAGTTGGAAAATCTGAATTTTATTCATTTACAAGAGCACTTAACTTTTGTTGGCACAATTTTCTGACTATAATTAACATCTAATTAAAAAAACACTCAACAAAAAAGTACCTGCATGATCTTTTGTAAAATGGCAGGTGGGGAGATGTATCCCATCATGCTGTTTAGAACATGGTGAGTCATTTCCTTGAACTCTGGGAACACAATCTTCGTTAAAGTTACATTTATTTTCAAGACATTCAATACATAGCAAGGCTGCCCTATGTTACTCTGTACACCAAACCCATACAAACTGTTAAATAGCTAGCCAAATCCATACTACAAATAGTCAAATCAATGCCAAATCAGCTACCATAGCAGCCAAAAAATTATTTAAAAAATGCTGAGATTTTTCACTTACTTTCCATTATATCTTTTTCTACAGAATTTTTCAACTTCCTTTGTGGTGAAACAATGGCTTCAAGCAAAGGAAACCATAATGCCTAAAATTTAGTTTTTTAAGAAAAGGAAAAAATTCAAAATTTAATTAAAATAAGTAAATATTGGCTAGAAATTGCCAACTTTTATATTTTATCTTTGTAAACAGAAGGGTAGAAATAGTATAAGATTTTTGTTTTAGTTGTTGTAGAGTTGAGCAGAATGTGCAGTGACTTACCTCCCTTGCAGCCTCATCTATTTTAGCTGAGTTCCTCTGACATAACTGGACGATGATGTAGAGTCTGAGCTCAGCTTTAGAGAACAAAACTTGGATGGCTGGTGGGATATGAAACAAATCTTTAGAGAACAAAACTTGGATGGCTGGTGGGATATGAAACAAATGTTTAGAGAACAAAACTTGGATGGCTGGTGGGATATGAAACAAATGTTTAGAGAACAAAACTTGGATGGCTGGTGGGATATGAAACAAATGTTTAGAGAACAAAACTTGGATGGCTGGTGGGATATGAAACAAATCTTTAGAAAACAAAACTTGGATGGCTGGTGGGATATGAAACAAATGTTTAGAGAACAAAACTTGGATGGCTGGTGGGATATGAAACAAATCTTTAGAGAACAAAACTTGGATGGCTGGTGGGATATGAAACAAATCTTTAGAGAACAAAACTTGGATGGCTGGCGGGATATGAAACAAATCTTTAGAGAACAAAACTTGGATGGCTGGTGAGATATGAAAATATTTGTGAGAAAAGTTAAGCTAAAAAATTAAAACAGTTCCAAAAGACAATCTAGAATTTTGCATAAAACTTAGATTAGGTTTATTAAGTTGAACCTACCAGATAAATCAAAAGTTGGAGCTTGTAGGTCAGTAATTAAAGTCTTCAGATGGTTTTGAAGATTCTGTTCATTTAGAGAAATAAATATCAAAATAAAACAATTTTTACAAATTCTATAACTTAGAAATTAAAGTTTGTTTTAAAGTTTGTATTTTAATTTTAAAAGTCTTGCAAACCTCCAACAAAATTTGAAATGCTCCTTGAATATCCCCAGCTTTCTCTAGTAAATACGCAGTTGCTTCCCATGCTCGATGCTTACGAACAATCTAAAACACACATAGGTGGATTGTCAAATACAAAGTAATTGGGTCTTATGGTATACAAAATAGGTGGGTCATATCAAATACAAAATGGGTTGGTAATAGTAATACTGAATGCATCATAGATGGGTCATTTCAAGTACAATAATTTTTTAATGCGAATTTTTTGTTGGATGAAATGATTGGTGATTTTATCAGTAACTATATTATGTTAGTTCTTGAGGTACCTCAAGAGTTTCCTCCAGACGGTAGCCCTCGTTCTGCTTGATGAAGGTGCAGACGTCCTGCGGCCTGTTGGTACACAGCAGGTCAATGTACAGCTCCAGCACCTGCGGCTCTATGACCATCTGCTTCTCTGGCTTGAGTGCACTCCCTTGGGTGTCTCTGTACAACAACACAGGGGGGGTCAGTTGATGGGGGGTCAGTTGATGGGGGGGGGGTCAGTTGATGGGGGGTCAGTTTAGAGGTGATGGGATGAAGGGGGGGGGGGTGACATTGTGTCTCTGTACAACAATACAACACAGGGGGTCAGTTGATGGGGGGTCAGTTGATGGAGGGGGGGGGGGTCAGTTGATGGGGGGTCAGTTGATGGGGGTCAGTTGATGGGGGGTCAGTTGATGGGGGGTCAGCTTAGAGGTGATGGGATGAGGGGGGTGACAAGGCACTCCCTTGTGTGTCTCTGTACAACAATACAGGGGGTCAGTTGATGGGGGGTCAGTTTAGAGGTGATGGGATGAGGGGGTGACATTGTGTCTCTGTACAACAATACAACATAGGGACACAGTTGATTGGTCAATTTGTTGGTGTTGGCGGAGAAGTGGAACATTGTGCATATTGGCAGCATGGGAGTAGAGGTTCTAGAACCTTGTATGTCATGTAACTGTAGGAGATGACACCTTACTTTAAATAAACACAAATGTCATTTTGAGTGACATAAAATAGCTAAAATGTCACTAACCTGTATGAGATGACACCTGGAATAAACCCAAATGTCACATACCTGTATGAGATGACACCTTGAATAAACCCAAATGTCACTTACCTGTATGAGATGACACCTTGAATAAACCCAAATGTCACATACCTGTACGAGATGACACCTTGAATAAACCCAAATGTCACTTACCTGTATGAGATGACACCTTGAATAAACCCAAATGTCACATACCTGTACGAGATGACACCTTGAAGAGACCCAAATGTCACATACCTGTATGAGATGACACTATGAATAAACCCAAATGTCACATACCTGTATGAGATAACACCTTGAAGAAACTCAAACAAGAGAGACTTGTTAGAGCTCAGCCTCCTGACAATGTCCACCAGTCCACTGTGTAGACAGGAGATGACGATGAATGCCGCCTGCTTGCAGTCTATGCTCACTAAGTCCTGGAACAACAGGTTGGCACCAACTTTACTTGAGTATGTGATGGAGATTGGCACCACTTTTATTTTAGTACTAGGCATGCTGCCCAGCTTTGCTTAGGCTTTCGAAAACATTGAGAATTTGAATGCTTAATTAATTCGCCCGAGGGTCGGTCTACGACCTCAGGAGTTATGAAGAGGTTCCTCCGTGGACATTTTTTTTCGATTTATAGCTCATATAAGGCGCCGGTCAGTCGAGGTCAGTTTTGACCCCATCATCGTAGACTTTTCGGCCAACCGGCCCCCGTGTTCTGTCGCCCCAAGGCAAGATCCTGCCAAATTTGAAGCGCCTGCGGCGCCGGGAAGTGCCCTATCGGGCAAATTGCATAGATAAACAAAGATTTCAATAAAGTAATTAAGGCCTGAAATACTTTAGTATAGAAATGTATTATTTGAATAGATGAATCTAGAATATCTAGATCTAGAATCCAAACAAATAAAATAAATTTTATGAGTTTAGACGGGAAAAATTGTATTGTATACATTTCATAGTGTACGTAGATCTAAATCAAATTTGAATGAAATAGTTCATTTCTTTTCATTCTAAACACGGCAGATGACGTCATTAGTTAATGTATAAGCAATAGTGACGTCACAGTTTTATGCGTTCTTTTTCACATATATTTATGCTTTTCCGGTTGCATAAATAATACTGTTTCTCTACATTCGAATACGCCTTAAATTTTTATTTTTCTTCTTTAAGTAAAATTGTGGTTATACATTTAAAACATCTAACATATTATTTTCAACAAAAGTCCGTAAAAAGTTCTCCATATACCGCTGCCGATTCTGACGTGATGTCCGGCGAAAATTTTTTGCGGACAGAGAAAGAGAGAGAGAGAGAGAGAGATGTGCGCACATTGGGCTTTTATAAATTAGGATGTGAGTGATTAGTTTTTTAATTCTAAAACTGTAGAGAACTTGTTTAGAAGTAAAGCAACCTTGGCACATATAAGTATTGTAGTCAGGTACACCCAGACACTTTTTCTTTACCCAAATTAGGTCAGGTACTAATTAGAGCTGAGAAGACTTCTTCTACCACTAGGCCACCAAGCCCCGGTATTAATACAGAAAAGAGAGAAATGTGATCAACTCACCTCTAAATTTTTCAAGGCCTCTTCTTGTAATGTGTTTTTCTCTGCTTCGGTGCAGGTAGGGCTCTGCATGATGCTGTTGATGTAGCTGAACACATGGTACTGGAAGGTGGGGTGGCGGAGGGGGGATTTTATGAGGTCAGTAAGGAATTTGTGCAATATGATGTATGGTTAGCATACAAAACTAAACAAACCTTAACTATCAAATATATTGCAGGTTTATATTTGACCAGATTAATTTATGGATCAGACACACAAGCTGGCAAATATAGACAAATAAACAAACAAAAATCTGGCACAGTGTTTGTTATTTGCTTAATGTATCAGTTATTAACATGAAGATGCACAACATTTACCATTTACTTAGTGTATTCACCATTACACCTCACCACGTGTTGTGGTATGTTTACCATCAGTGTACGTGTGCTATGTTTCCCATCAGTGTATGTGTGCTATGTTTACCATTACTGAATGTCAGGTACCACTCACCCTGCGTGCTGGATCCTTCAGGTAACAGATCAATATCCTGTCAAAACTTCGTCTTTTTTCATACAGGTACTCACAGACACGGTAACTGAAAAAGTGGCCAAAACGTTTTAAATTCCTTTACTACAGTGTCTTTATAAGTCTAGTGTCATAACTGCATCTTTGTAAGTCTAGTGTTATTACTGCATCTTTATAAGTCTAGTGTCATAGTTCTAGTTGTCTGTCTGATGACCAATATAATGTCAGTCTGCTGTCCATGTGGCGACTTGAAGCTGTCAGTCTACTGTCAGTGTTGTCATGACTGACACCAGATGTCATGACGTCAGGACTTACAACTTGGCAGTGTGTGCCAGACTGAGCAGACGTCCCTCGTTAAAATCTGACAACCCTCCAGCCTGAAGCAGCTCCATCAGCGCTTGTTGCCTTTCTTCATGGCGGGACTCATCCTCAGGGTTGGCCAGAAACTCCAGCACCTGTACACAACAGGGTGATGTATTTGAAACTGGGTGTACATGGAATATGTTGTACATGAAATCTTGTGTACAAATAAATGTGGACCAATAACTGGTTTTTGGTGGGATGGCGTGTCCTAGCGGTAGAGCGCTAGACTCAAAAGTCCTAAGTTTGAATCCGGGTTCAAATCAGTAGAATGTCCCTGAGCCTACCCAGAACATATGGGTACCTAATCCATGTTAGGTAAAGTGAAGGCGGTTGGGCATAGTGCTGAGGTCATTGAGACAGATGAACTCTACTTTATCTGCCCCATGTGTCTTAAGCACAAACAGGAAAAGAGGAATTGGTACAGGTTTATGTAACCTGTTTGTGTACTATTTTATAGACTATGTAAATATACGGATTATATAGCTAATTGGCACTTGTATGATGAAAAGTGCCTGTTTGTGCATAAGTATATCAAGCATGTACCTAGTTGAGTAATCGTGGATGACCTAATTGTGTACATGTGGATAACTTAATTATGTACATGTGGATGACCTAATTGTGTACAGGTGAATGACCTAAGACTGACCTGGTCAAACAGAACCCGCTTCACCTGGATGGTGTCCTCGTGTCTGGCTTTTTGCCGAGCTAAAAATGTGAAGAGGATTCCAATTTGTGTGGGCTGTAGGATGAAATATGTGATATGTGATTATTGTATCACTGGCATGGTTAGCTGTGCCACCACATCACCTTTTGATACTAGATTGCCAGAACATAAATTACTCTATACTCTATACTTAACATATGACTAAGCACATACCATCAGTCAACAAATGAACAGCTGACTTACAGAAAAACAAACAGTGACAAAACAGCTGACTTATAGTAAAAGTTATCAAAGGACTTACAGTAAAACCCACACTCTCCACCATGATCTGAAGAAGGATGTCAACAACTCTTTGTCGCTTCTGTATACTGAGATAATTACATTTATATTCATTAGTACATGTAATTAAATATTTACATCATTCCATTTTATACAACAAGAATTACAATTTAAATCTTTTGAAGTTTATAAGATAAATAGCCTACTTATTTTAATCTAAATATTTAAACTAAAATTTTCAAAAATGAAACGGCATAAATTATGCTAATTACCCTTCATGGCTGTTAAACTCTGGCTCCTCAAAGGCCTGAAATTTTTTTAAAGTTAATCAAATGTCTTGTGGTGATCAATTAATTTTCAAACAATTTTGACTTTTTAATGCTAGCTATCAATTCTGTTTAGTGCTCTTCACTTACTGAACAATTTACTTAAAACCTAAAGAGTTTTCTAAAAACCAAGACTCACCAAAGCTTAACTTGACTTACAGTCTTCTAAAAACCAAGACTCACCAAAGCTAAAACATTGAGAAACTCCCTGGTATCAAACTTGAGCAAAGTCCGCAGGTAAGGATACACCTGCTCATCTGGAAGGAAATGAAAACGCACGAGGGCTAAACTTTTGTTTTATGATTTCAATTTTAAAACAACTATTAACAATAAGTAACTAATTCTTGTAGTGAGAGATAACTCTAGGACAGACAAATTACCTTCCGCTGGTTGATTAGTATGTAAACAGGTCAGACAACGAAAAACCTGAGGACATAATGTGTTTAAGAGGTCAACATTATATATGTTTATAAACATATGGACACATATACTACAACAATTAGGACATGTCAAATGTTGGACATTTCAAATATTGGACATTTCAAATGTTGGACATTTCAAATGTTGGTCATTTCAAATGTTTGACATTTCAAATGTTTGTCATCAAGGTTAAACATAATCAATGCATACAGCACATAGTGAGTGACACAATGACTCACCTGGTCCTTGACGACAGACACCTGGTCTTCAGGTATGTCACCCAGTGGGTAGGCCCTGCCAGCTAAGCAACAGCTGAAATAGATTTGATACTGTCACTTTGTGAGCCAGGCTGAAGTATTATGTGTCGTAAATAAAGTCTGTCACAAGTAGACTGTCAAAGGTCATCTGACACACATCATCTGTCACAGGTAAAGTCTGTCAGCATTCAAGCGAATAAAAAAATTAGTTGGTTCTAGCACTTGCTCACCTGATATAAACCAGCAATTTGTTGCCCAGTTTGATGTGCACATCTGTCATGATAAAAACAATTTTGTGATATTAATTATCTAATTAATTACATTAAACAAAATATTATTACATTTCAAGCAGGTACAAACTTTTGTTCTGTTTTTAAAATGTTATCATCCAATGCTTTTAAAAAGGTTTGAAGCACTTTGGCACATAGAAGTAAATACTACACAATAAAAAAATGGAAACTATTTTGGTTGTTATAGAAATCTTAATTTAAAAAAAAAAAAAGGTTTTTATAACATTTTAAGAATATTTTAAACAATTATTATTATTGGTCTTATTTTTAAACTTTTTCACAAAGCTTTTGAAAAAATATAGTTTTAATTCTGCATCAAAATATGACATTCAAATATTTATAAAAATCAAAGGGGATGGTAGAACATTCTGAATAACATTTATTGACTTTTTAAAGTAATTTTAAAACAGTGTTGGCAAAAGTGTTATTACAGAACAACATAAGCAGTCTTAAAATATTTTGTGACTGAGTTCATGAAATAAAAAGTTTTAAAGATTTTACTGAAGAAAATGGTGAAAAATTTAGAAAAAAGCAAAAATGTGTAAATAACACAAGTGCAGATTAAGAAAAACAAAGTAGTTGAAATTTTTTTTTTTTTAAAAGTATGTGACATAAGTAGATCAAAAAGAAATTCAGTAAAGAATTACACATCAGACAGGGTGATTAACAACAAGTGAACAAGACAGACTGGACACAAACTGACCAGTCAACTGTTTGCCTGTGGCCAGAGCTGAGCCCAGCTGGACAAGAAGCTGCTCCAGTGGACTGGTGTAGTCACTCATGCCCTTGTTGAAGACATAGATGATGGCGTCGTACAGGCCGTGGCCCCAGCACAGGTTCACAACCTGGGAACCAAAGGACAATACAGTTAGTAACATCATACATAGATGATGGTACAGGCCGTGGCCCCAGCACAGGTTCACAACCTGGGAACCAAAGGACAATACAGTTAGTAACATCATACATAGATGATGGCATCGTACAGGCCGTGGCCCCAGCACAGGTTCACAACCTGGGAACCAAAGGACAATACAGTTAGTAACATCATACATAGATGATGGCATCGTACAGGCCGTGGCCCCAGCACAGGTTCACAACCTGGGAACCAAAGGACAACACAGTTAGTAACATCATACATAGATGATGGCATCGTACAGGCCGTGGCCCCAGCACAGGTTCACAACCTGGGAACCAAAGGACAACACAGTTAGTAACATCATACATAGATGATGGTACAGGCCGTGGCCCCAGCACAGGTTCACAACCTGGGAACCAAAGGACAATACAGTTAGTAACATCATACATTGCAGGTTCACAACCTAGGAAAAGAATACAAAGTTAAATACATGATACAGGACCCATCATAGGTTCACGACCTGGGAACCAAAGGACAATACAGTTAGTAACATCATACATTGCAGGTTCCAATCTGTGAGCAGGGATACAAAAATAATAACACAGGACCCAGCACAGGTTTAGAGCTGGTAACAGAAGACCAGAGATTTCATGTGCCAGCAAGATTAGGAGATCAGCCTGTTGCTGCCTTCATATTTTATTCTTTGCTTAAGGTCTGCTCCTAGCTATGTCATACCCAGTAACAGCTTTCAACACTGAAACTATAAGATTCTACCCAGCCACTACTAGTGCCTCTACCCAGCCACTACTAGTGCTTCTACCCAGCCACTACTAGTGCCTCTACCCAGCCACTACCAGTGCTTCTACCCAGCCACTACTAGTGCTTCTACCATACCACTACTACTAGCCTACACCCAGCCACTACCAGTGCCTCTACCCAGCCACTACTAGTGCTTATACCATACCACTACTACTAGCCTACACCCAACCACTACTATGCCACTACTAGTGCCTCTACCCTGCCACTACTAGTGCCTCTACCCTGCCACTACTAGTGCCACTACCCACCTGGTGAATGTCCAAGCTAGTGATGTCCAGATGGACAATACAAGACTCCACACTGTCCAGCAGCCCTCTCATCTCGTAGTGGTCAACAAAGTCTTTCATGACCGCAGGAGGGATGTAGGTCAGACGGTCAGACTGCATGTAGGGTTCCAGACACTCCAGGAAAGTTCCTTTAGCGATAACATCGCAGGAGAAGCGCTCGTAGATCCGGTCAAACAGCAGCTCTCTGGAATCATGGCATGTGGTCAGTTACTGTAAGACTTTCATTAGACTAATGGCATGTAGTTGGTTACTGTAAAACTTTCATGACTAATGGCATCTAGTTGGTTACTGTAAGGCTTTCATTAGACTATTGGCATGTAGTTGGTTACTGTAAGACTTTCATTAGACTAATGGCATGTAGTTGGTTACTGTAAAACTTTCATTAGACTAATGGCAGGTAGTTGGTTACTGTAAACCTTTCATTAGACTAATGGCATGTGGTTGGGTACTGTAAAACTTTCATTAGACTACTGGCATGTAGCTGGTTACTGTAAAACTTTCATTACACTTACTTATGGCATGTAGTTAGTTACTGTAAAACTTTCATTACACTTACTTATGGCATGTAGTTGGTTACTGTAAAACTTTCCTTAGACTAATGGCTTGTAGTTAGTTACAGTAAAACTTTCATTAGACTAATGGCATGTAGTTGGTTACTGTAAAACTTTCCTTAGACTAATGGCTTGTAGTTAGTTACAGTAAAACTTTCATTAGACTAATGGCATGTAGTTGGTTACTGTAAAACTTTCATTAGACTAATGGCATGTAGTTGGTTACTGTAAAACTTTCATTAGACTAATGGCATGTAGTTGGTTACTGTAAAACTCTCATTAGACTAATGGCATGTAGTTGGTTACTGTAAAACTTTCATTAGACTAATGGCATGTAGTTGGTTACTGTAAAACTTTCATTAGACTAATGGCATGTGGTCGGTTACTGTAAAACTTAGACTAATGGCATTTAGTTGGTTACTGTAAAACTTTCATTAGACTAATGGCATGTAGCTGGTTACTGTAAAACTTTCATTAGACTAATGGCATGTAGTTGGTTACTGTAAAACTTTCATTAGACTAATGGCATTTAGTTGGTTACTGTAAAACTTTGACTAATTGCATTTAGTTGGTTACAGTAAAACTTTCATTAGACTAATGGCATGTGGTCAGTTACTGTAAAACTTAGACTAATGGCATTTAGTTGGTTACTGTAAAACTTAGACTAATGGCATGTAGTTGGTTACTGTAAAACTTTCATTAGACTAATGGCATGTAGTTGGTTACTGTAAAACTTTCATTAGACTAATGGCATGTAGCTAGTTACTGTAAAACTTTCATCACAACAGTGGCATGGAATCTGTTATTGTGATAAATGTGGAAGTCTTGTTACTACTCAGTGTAATGTGTTGACACATTTGACAAGTCAGTTGTGACAACTTATGTGACAAACACACAATCAGGACTCACAAATTATTGAGGTGAAGGCAGTAGTCCACACAGACAGGAACAATTTCCTGGAAAACATCATCACAAGTTTAAGTTAAAATCTTGTGTTAACATTAATTAATAATTTTTTTTTTAAAAAACATGATCAACAATGTCACCACGCAAATAGACAAAATTTACTGATAAAAATGTATCAAGACATATTTATCAACACTAAAAAAAAAACATGTATCTGTACAAGCAAAACACAAAATATACCAACCAACACCTACAGACCAACTCACCTGATAATAATCCTCCAATTCCTCAATTTTTCCATTTTTGGGAGTTTTGGTGATAGCAATGTCAACATACTCCATCAGTACTTGAACCAGCTGGGGAAGGAGGGGTGGGGGGGGGGGGGGTATGTTACAAATGTGGTGAAATAACTTTAGATTCTATTTTAAGGCTAGTCTCACACTTAATTAAGTAATCTCAGGTTCTATAGCTAAGACAAGTTAAGAAATAAAAAAAAATGACAGCTCCTGTTACTAACAGAACCAACATGTTGGTGGCCAGTTGGGGTCAAGTAGAAAAATCAACTTACAACAGCTGCAACAATCTCTCTCTTTTTGCTCTGGGGTCCAGTGAGGCCTATCACTGCCTTAGCTGTGCCGTTGTAGAAGGAGAGGGTCAAGGCCAGAGCATCCTGGTACTTGTTTTCCTTCACCAGGACTGTAATTCTCTGCCAGACACAGGTCACACAGTGTTAATGTTAGTACAGGTCATATGGTGTTTAGTGGTCAAGTATTTAGTGGACACAGGTCATTTGGTGTTTAATGGTCAAGTATTTAGTGGACACAGGTCATTTGGTGTTTAATGGTCAAGTATTTAGTGGACACAGGTCATTTGGTGTTTAGTGGTCAAGTATTTAGTGGACACAGGTCATATGGTGTTTAGTGGACATAGGTCATGTAGTGTTTAGTGGACTGGAAATGAGTCATATGGGGTGGTCAAATGGAGAAAAAAAGATTTCCAGTTACTTCCCTTTACGTAAAGAATTAAATAATAAGAAAGAAAATAAAGTTACCTCCCTCCATGTTCGTATAGAGAACATGTGTACAGACTTGGTCCCCAGCAGAAACAGCTGACCACTGTGGCTGACCACTGACTGGTAGCAGGCCTGGTCACCAGCAAATGCCTGGGTAAATAAATGTTCAATAATGGAGGGTTTACAGTCTTAATAAATATTTCAAATAAATGGAAAAAAAATTTCTTTACAATTCTGTTGAAAGTTCCGACTTAAAAAACATCAGCTTGTATTTTAATTCCAGTCAAAAGATCAATCCAAATTTTAAGTTGAATAAATAAAACTATATGAAAAATATTGTAAAATTCAACTACAAAAGATAACTGTAAATAATGTATAATGAACTGTCATTCTTTTTATTTTAGTCTAAAAAAAAGTGCCCTGCTTATTTATTAGAAGAAGGACCTTAGATGAAAACATCAACTTTGGTGTAAATTTTTTGAAGTTTTTAAAATACTTCTCTTTTTCTATTGAACATTGTAATTTGTAAAACCTGCTTCAGTTTCTAAGGATGTCATCACATTGACTACAGGAATTCTAAATATTTCTTTACCAAGGCTTGGCTGACATTGCCTCCAGTGGCCAGTGATTTGAAGTAACTGGTCCCATAGACCAGTTGGATGGAGGACACATCAATCACCTGCAGGACATGTTAAATTGGTCAGTATCCTTGTACACAAACAATTAATCAGTTTTATAACTGGGCAGTATCTTAGTACATAAACCATTGGTTAGTTTTATAAGTGATCCCATAGACCAGTTGGATGGAGGACACATCAATCACCTACAGGACACATTAAATTGGTCAGTTTTATAATTGGTCAGTATCTTAGTACACAAACAATTGGTCAGTTTTATAAGTGGTCAATATCCCATTTAATAAACAATGAGTTATTTTTATAAGTGGTCAATATCCCATTAAAATAACAATTAGGTAATTTGATAACTGGTCCCATAGACCAGCTGTATGAAGGACACATACAGAAATACAAAACAAAATACATACCTCCAGTTCACATACATACAGAAACACATACATAATTTCATACACAATATTACATACAAATATACATACAGACACAATGTTAAATACAGACAGACATAAATACGTATACACATACCTCCAGTTCCTCCTCCGAGCGTACGTCAATGACGTGCATTTTTTCAGATCTATCAAGACACACCAGAGTTCTGGCGTTCATCCACTGTGGAACAAAAAGACAGACATGAGCACAAACTATGGAACAAACAAACAAACAGAAATGAGCACAAACTATGGAACAAACAGACAAACAGACATGAGCACAAACTATGGAACAAACAGACAAACAGACATGAGCACAAACTATGAAACAAACAAACAGACATTAACACAAACTGAACCTATGTAAGGTCAGCATGTTGTACCATCCACTAGAAATTTACACTGAGCTACTGGCTAAATTGTAAGAAAACCTAACAGTGATACAACAGACCAAATTGTAAAAAAAAACATTACCGTGATACTGAGTAGTTGATAATTCCGTTCCAACTTTTGTAAACCAGCTGTCTGGATATCATGGGGCCCATTACACATCACCTATAATACAGATCACATCTAAAACATTACTTAACCAAAAGCAGTTAATTTTCTAATTGAGAGAAATAAATAAGCTGGCCTAATGCAGTTAACAAACATTTTATATATATTATTTTAAACTTTGCTTAAAAATCACAAAAATTAATATTTCCAGCACAAACTATCATTTAAAAAGAAAAAACCCACGCACTTGGAAAAAATAAATGGTTTTATCTCTGGCAAAGGAGAGTACAGGGTCTATAACTCTGTCCTTCTCCGACACCTGTATGACCACAAACTGCCAGGCAAGCAAGGGCAAGGTCGATGGGTCACCCTGGAGGAGAATGGCATAAAATCAGTGATCACATGACAACATCTGGCTGTTTGCAGGACTAAAAGAAATGAATTTTAAGAAAATTTAAAGTTGTGAAGTCAAGGCAACAGATGTGTGACGTGTTACCTTGAGTGGGTGTGTGAACATGACCTTCAGGTGGGGGCGGAGTGTGACCAGTAGCACCTAGGGGAGATAGGAACAGAATAGTAGAATTTGGTTCATGGCTGGGAAAAAAATTAGCATAGTGGCCAACTTGTATTAGCAATGTCATGTGGCCATACAATATTTCTTCTCAATCAAAATCAGAAACTAAAAACAAGGACAATCTGGAAGCGTTTAAGGCCAACTCTCTAAGACTACTAAGGAATATCAAGTTACATAACTGTAGGTAAAGACCCATAACTCTATAAACGCTAACAAACCCTAACTAAAAGCATACCTTAGAGAACGATGCCATGGCTAGCACCATGACATCCTGCATAGGATGGTCCTTGATTGTGTAGTTCATGTGTAGGGGCTCTATGGCGCACACTTCACCTCGACTGTGAGCAGAACATTTTCATAGGGTTAATCTTAGAGGATTATCAGATTTCATCTAAACAGTTAATGATTTGTATGTAATTTTGTTTACTTTACTGATTCCAAGGCAACAATCAGCAAATAGGAATCTAAAAAAAAGCTTTGGATACAAAAATAAGTGAAAGGCCAGTTTTAAATGAAGTTTTGAAACCTTGTTAAAATGTTTGAAAAAATTAATGAAAAAATAACTGCGTACATATATCAACGTTTGAATAAATTAAAAAGAAAAAAAACTGCTGTACCTGCCAGAAAACAGACACTGTGACTCACACGTCCGGACTCCAATCAGTCGTCTGGAACAAAACAGAATCAGGGTTAGCTGTAAACCCTGGTGTGGTTCAGTTGTAACTGTTGCTTTAGCTATATACAAATACTTATATGTTGGTTTAAATTAGAATCTAATAGTGATCTAACATTCTGTACATCTAGTGTAGAAGTAACTCACTTGAACTCCAGCTCAAACACTGAGCCACCACTGTCACTGCATACAGCCAGGACAAAACTGTCTGTGAACTACAGCAGGGGGTAGAGTTAGGTCATTGCAGGTCAGTGTTAGGTCATTGTAGGCCAGTGTTAGGTCATTGTAGGTCAGTGTTAGGTCATTGTAGGTCAGTGGTAGGTTAGTGTTAGGTCAGTGTTAGGTCATTGTAGGTCAGTGGTAGGTTAGTGTTAGGTCAGTGTTAGGTCATTGTAGGTCAGTGTTAGGTCATTGTAAGGTCATGTGTTAGGTCATTGTAGGTCAGTGTTAGGTCATTGTAGGTCAGTGTTAGGTCATTGTAGGTCAGTGTTAGGTCATTGTAGGTCAGCATTAGGTTATTGTAGGTCAGCGTTAGGTCATTGTAGGTCATTGTGGGTCAGTGTTAAGTCATTGTATGTTGGCGTTAGGTCATTGTAGGTTAGTATTAGGTCATTGTAGGTTAGTATTAGGTCATTGTAGGTCAGCATAAGGTCATTGTAGGTTAGCATTAGGTCATTTTAATATTAGGTCATTATAGGTTAGCATTAGGTCAGTGCAGGGCTGCCTACTTGTACGGTTTTGCCCGTAACTTTACGATTTTGACACCCAGGTTACGGAATTACGATTATGCTGCAAAATTACGGTTTTGATTTCAGTAGAGATCAAAATCGACTTTAGTGTAAAAAAAAAATTCTGATGGTAACTTAACTTTATGTTCCCGGTCTGAGTTTTATATTTTAATTTAGCTAGTTATATTTCAGTATTTCAGTGTGTTATCCGGTTCTAAGCTTCTCAGCCTCTTCCGTAACAATCCCCCCTCCCCCTTCCCGCTCATGTCATGGCTGGCGGCAGTCGTGTTTATATTGTGAACTATTGACCCCGCGAGTGGTCTGTGTAATACCTCATGAGCCGGTGTTGTACGTAGAGAAAAAAAAGGGCGTGGCCTAAATCATTGAAAATGAAAGTCTGGTCGCGCAGTCTGGCGAGACATATTTGCTGAGGCGGTATTACTACTAATTCGGCTAAATGCCTAAATAGCGAGATATCGAGGCATTTTGTTTGAGATGTGCGAGAAGACAAGATATTACTAAACAACGAGATCTAGGCTCACCTAGATCAATTACGGATCATATTTTTAAAATTGTTCTTTTCTTCTAGACTAGGCATGCTGCCCAGCTTCGCTTAGGCTTTCGAAAACATTGAGAATTTGAATGCTTAATTAATTCGCCCGAAGGTCGGTCTACGACCTCAAGAGTTATGAAGAGGTTCCTCCGTGGACATTTTTTTTCGATTTATAGCTCATATAAGGTACCGGTCAGTCGAGGTCAGTTTTGACCCCCACATCGTAGACTTTTCGGCCAACCGGCCCCCGTGTTCTGTCGCACCAAGGCAAGATCATGCCAAATTTGAAGCGCCTGCGGCGCCGGGAAGTGCCCTATCGGACACCCGACAATCTAGAATCTAGATCTAGATCTAGATTCCTAAAAGAATTTTTTTTTTAAGTTTAGCCCGAGCATAATAAAAAAGAATACATTAACCAAGTTGACTTGCTGTGTCTCGAACCCGCACCACCTGCGTGGTTTAATGTACACTAACATCTCCGCTATTTAGGCCCTTATAAAATACGGAGAATGAAACACGTATTTTAAAATCTTAACTTACACGAATATGCCTATTCTTTCAAATTATTTTTTTATCCCAAATTAGCCAGTTCATAACAAAGATTTTGTATAAAATAAATAAGTCTTGAAATAGTTTAGTCCTAATATAGAAATTTATTTTTGGAATAGATTTTAGAGAAGTTAGAGTCTAAATCTAGATCTTAGCGTCTACGTCTAGATTATAGATCTAGTTATTGCGTAGATTTAGATTTAGTCTAGATCTAGAATCTCTAGATCTAGAATCCAAATAAATAAAATAAATTTTATGAGTTTAGGCCGGAAAAACTGTATTGTATACATTTCATAGTGTACGTAGATCTAAATCAAATTTGAATGAAATAGTTCATTTCTTTTTATTCAAAACACAGCAGATGACGTCATTAGTTAATGTATAAGCAATAGCGACGTCACAGTTTTATGCGTTCTTTTTCACATGTATTAATGCTTTTCCGGTTGCATAAATAATACTGTTTCTCAACATTCGAATACGCCTTTAATTTTTATTTTTCTTCTTTAAGTAAAATTGTGGTTATACATTTAAAACATCTAACATATTATTTTCAACAAAAGTCCGTAAAAAGTTCTCGATATATCGCTGCCGATTCTGACGTGATGTCCGGCGAAAATTTTTTGCGGACAGAGAAAGAGAGAGAGAGAGAGAAGAGCGCACATGGCCTTTTATAAATTAGGATATTACATTGATAAAATGTAGATTTTAAAAAAAAATATTCAAGAAATATGCTAATTCTAAACATCGTCACCCGTCGGCCGCTTACGTTTTCTTGTTCGCGGGAGAAAAAATCCTGACACACACACAGCCGAGGGGTCACTGAGTTCACATTGGTTTAGATATCCGTAGTGTTGGCCTATATCATACGTCATACTACTCATTGCAAGAACAATTCCTATTTGAAATTTTCCATTGTCGCCTTACATTCTGAATTTAACGGCGTTTTTTTTAAAAACTAATTATTAGTCCATAAAATAAAAAGTAGCACGAGTCGCCGACTGTCATCATTACGCTGATGAGGTTTACGATCGTATAATATGGGTCTTATTTACATTGTATTTAAAAATGTGTAAAAATACGCAAAGTTACGGAAAGTTACGGAAAACCTATGCACTTGTTACGGGGAAAATTTTTTTGGGGTAGGCAGCCCTGGTCAGTGTAGGTTAGTATTAGGTCAGTGTAGGTCAGCATAAGGTCATTGTAGGTTAGCATTAGGTCATTTTAATATTAGGTTATTATAGGTTGGCATTAGGTCAGTGTAGGTTAGCATTAGTAAATTAAGTTCCCTTTCAAACCTGACGATCCAAGGAGCAAGTGAAGTAGAGTTCACATGTTTCTGTGATCTCTGCATATGAAGGGATAGTGTGATCAGCACAATGCCCAGCCACCTTTACTTTCCCTAACATGAGTCAGCTACCTATCAGAGTGGGGTGGACATGCTATGTACAAACTCAAGATGTCTTTAATTTTACTTTCCAGTTTCAAATCTGGTTTTGCTGATGACAATTTTAGAATCCCAAAGCTCTCCCAATGTCACATGTCATCTCACCTTGACATGCAAGATGGCTGTGCCAGGTGGATGAGCATCAACGATTGTGCGTAGAAGTTTTCCTGATGTAAGGTCCCACATGGTCAGCTGTGAAAGAAAACTTTTTTTTAACCAACAGTGTATATTAAGAAGAAAATTAGCAGAAGCTTATAGCCTAAATACAAATGGTAGTTTAAAGAACTAACAAACAACAATATTATTAGTAGAGTAGGTAAGAAAATTCTGTCAAATTTTTAAATTGTTTTTTTAAGATAGAGCATGTATTCTTTTATTGCCTCTAAATATATTTGAAATCTAGTTGTTCTATACATCTAAATTCACTAAATCATAAAATAATTAAACAAAAAAATAAACCAACTAAAAAAGTGGTACCTGTCCTCTGGCAAATCCACACAGCAGACGTGAGCAGTCTCTGTTGAAACTGAGGGCAGACACAGAACCGTATTGGGCGCCCACTGCAGTGCTGCCCAGACACCACTTCAGGACTTGCTTGGGATCTAAAACAACAATAAATCAAGTGTACAGTCAGTCCAAGTAAAATCTGTATGGGTCACTTGGTACACAGACCCTGGGGGGAGGCTATAGAAACAATCTGTCCTTACCAAAGACAAGCACCAGCCCATGTGATGTACCAATGGCAATCAATGAAGAAACAACCTGGGAACAATAAATACCTGCATTAACCCAGATGATTCTTGTTTAACAAATAATAAACTCAAAACAAATTATTTAAAAAAATAAAACATTCAACATATAAAAATGTAATTTGTTGAATTTTGTACAAATAACAATCCAAATTTAAAATAATTTAAAAGCAGATTTAAGAATGAGATGTTTTTATAATATTAATATTACATCTTATTGTAATACAACTTTTTTTACTTACAATAGCTGTGGGCATTCCTGCATCAACTCTATCCTGTAAGAAAGATTAAAATAATAAATTAAGACTACATAATGAATTATATATGCTTTCAGTGTATAGATTGTATTTTTAAACACAGTTGTGATGTTTAAACTAGTGAGATTTTTGTGTGTGTAGAAAATACTTTTTTAACCTAACCATCTATCATGAGAAAATCTTGTGTTGTAAAATTTTTATCAAATGCATACAAGAAAAACAAGAAATATGTGCGAGGAAATAAAGCACATGTACAAGAAACATCAAGACATGAGTTACAAGAAACAAGAAATGTGTACAAGGACATGTGTACAAGAGAACAATCTTACAGCAGCAGACAGGAGTTGAGCTGAGACACTCTTCAGCTTGCTAGGTCTGAGAACTGATCCATGCACAGTGGGAATAACTTTCTTTGCTCTGGAACAATGTCAGATTTTTAAAAATCATTAACTGTAAATTTTGTAAAGACAAGAAACAAAAAACTAACAACCCAGGAACACAGCACAACTTGCCTGTCTTTTCTCCTGGAGTCATGGCTGTCCTGACTTGATAAAGAAGAAGTTTCTCCGGACTCGCCCGTCTGAAGCAGCTGAATCCCTGACCGTGACGCTCCAGGTGTGGAAACCTCATCTTCCTCAAGGATGACAACATCATCATCTGCCTGCAGACAAAAGACACCTGACAGTGAATTTTTTGTGCTTTAGAATGTCTTACAAAATAAGGACAAGACACAATTAAAATTATGATAATAACTGGCTTATTGCTTTACAATAAACGGATAATGATACCTCAGCATATGTTTTAAAAATATGACAATACCTCGTAAATGTCTTAAGCTTATGATAATACCTCATTCAAGATACTCTCTAATGTTGGAACATTGTCCACTTTTGGAATGTCGAATTCAGAGTCATCAAGCTGGAATAGAAAATACAGCATTACTGTTTTCATTAGGTCTTGTATTTACACTTGTAATGAAAGCTAAATAATAAGCTGTTTATAATAAAGAAATTAATTTTTATAGGCCTAACAAATTCTATAATCTTTCAAGGCTTATGGTCTAATATGTAGCCTTTGTAGGCCTACTGAATTATGGTAAATCAGTAGGCCCCCTACATGCTGATTACATTTTTTCTAATTTTTCTATGTAGGCCTATGCTAAATCTTACTTATTATGGTGGCACATTGTTACTAGTTAGTTAGGTTAGGCCCTTTTGTGCCTACATCACATAGGCCTAACATTTAAAAATATAAAAACAGAACATGAAATATATTTATTTATTATATTAGGCCACTACAGGCCTACTAACTTACTACTAACTACTTAATAATACTTTTACTAAGTCTACTACTAAACATTCTAGACCTGTAGCCGCTGTAATAGTAATTAGTAATTAGATTAGACGATAGATCTAGAAAATCTAGATTTAGGTAAAAATCCTAGGACTTTCCTTGAGACATAATCTAGCTTAGCAGTACTAAGTTAGTAAGTAGTAAGCACTACTTAAAGTTGCTATCCTGCTATTGCAGAACTGCTAGACTCGAGTCACCAGTGACCAGTCCAGACAAACATTCACATTGATGACATTATGAAACATCAATCATCAAACAACACTTCGCCGCATTCGCGGCATTATATTTAATTTTTTGAGCATGCGCTTATGTAGCCTTTTTATCTTTTGTACTTAATTTGAAAAAACCCTCAATTTTCTGATTTCATAAGCAATACAATTTTACCTCATCAATATCAAAAGAAAGAGCATTTAATTTATCACCAGAAGATCCACTTGGACCATCAGTTCCGCCTTCTTCCGCCATAGTTGTTTATTAGGAAAAGGGGCGCTACTACTGTATTATTATTCAATGTTGTAATCAACAATTCATTACGAGTTGCAGGCCTTTGATAAAATGTAAAATTTCTCGCTGAAAAAGATAGTTGAAAACAGAGTATTGTTTTATAATGACCGTATGTGTACTATTTGTGATGAATATTTGAATTTTTTCATGAATTGTCACACAGCTTTATACACACACATTGGTATTTTTACTCGCATCGTTTTATCTAGAGATATTTACTCGCTTACAGAGCCGGCGTTAGGGGGTGGCAAACGGGGCGGTCGCCCCAGGCCCCGCGCTTGAAAGGGCCCCGCGCTTCAGCAACGCCATTGTTGCCTGAATTAGTTTGTAAACTTAAATAATCTTTGCTGAATAAAATTTAAAAAAAAAAAACCAACTAAATGGCCGAAATTGTTGGATGTTAAAACTGAGGCCACGGCTGATGTTAGTGAGTTATCCTCTACATGGACTGGGAGAGACCGTTATTCTAAAGAAAGACAGTAGTGTCACACATCGCTGACACGGTCGACTCGCTATTGTCCTGAGGTGACTGGAGATGGCGGTCGCGAATTAGCCCCCGACCTGACATGGGAGGTAAAATCGGGAGAAACGTAAACAGATACCCCTATTGTTTGCGGACCGTTGAAGACGTTTTTTTTAGTGAGCAGGCGGGGGTGCCTGTAGTAAACAGTCAGTGACCTGATGATGGCTTGCAGAGGTGGGGGGGGGGGGGGGAGAGAGCGGATGGGGGCATGCCCCTTCCCGGGAAAAAAAATTGCAAATTTTCTATTTGCACCCCCCTCAAACTTTCAAAACTTGCACCCCCCTCCTCAAACTTTCGATTTGCACCCCGCTCAAGTTTTCGATTTGCACCCCGCTCAAGTTTTCGATTTGCACCCCCCCCCCTCAAACTTTCGATTTGCACCCCCTCAAGTTTTTCTCTATATATTTTGCTACTTTTTTGCCTTGGTGTCACCCCCCCCCCCCCTAAATGGACCTTCTCTTGTGAGAACGCGGTCTTAATCTGTAATGTAATACGCGGACGCTCTATAAACACGCACCTTCTCTTGAATTGCTACGGTTAGAGATCCAGTAACGTAGTACCCGAACTGATTTTTTTTAGGGTTTGGCATCCCATAGATTTAAATGTACAGTTTAATATCCTTCACCTCACCCCACCAACTGTCACCCCCCCCCCCCCCCCAGTGTTCCACCTTACTGAGCGTCCGTGATTACATTTGAGAGTCATTTCATTTGGATATCTATAGCCGTAAACAGTGTTTTTCACGATTCGAGCTTATTCCGAAATCTATCAATGTTTTGCTATTTTCCCCGGCATCCACACACTTTGAATGCCACTGTTAACACTCGATAAATTGAGAAAATATCGATACTATCACCCGCCACTGTGGACCGATTTAACGTTGCTTCAAAGTGATTTCACAATTTTTCTTTACACCATGGCTACAAGAGACAGAGATAGATTTCGCAAGTATGAATCAGGTGCATCAAAAGCGAGGAAACGCAATTTAAGAGAAGAATTTGATAAAACACAAGCAGGCGCGTTGGACAAGTACATACACTATCCAAAGAAAGTTATTAAACAACAAAAACATTTCTCCAAACTGAAGTTGATCAAGAACTATTTGAGATCAACGATGTCCCAAGACAGACTCTGCGGTCTGTCAATTCTGTCAATAGAAAAAGACATAGCCTCCAGTTTGGACTATGACGATATAATCATGGAATTTTCCTCACGAAAGGCAAGAAAAGTAGATCTTCGTTTGTGAACGTACTGGTAAGATTTTCATAAACATTAATGTAAAAAAATCAGGTTTGAAGCTGACGTTCATCGTCTCTTTAATGCGTGTCTCAAACTTATATCTGTTTTATTTTTTACTTTTCAAACAAAAAGCCTTAACAGAAACAAGCAACGTTTTAAAAGCACTTCTAAGTAAACAAATTATTTGTTAATCAGTGTCTTAATGTTAAAACTAATATACGACATTGATAAACAGCTTAAAAATACCACATATATCGTTGTAAATATTAATTCGCGTTGAGAAGAAAAAAAACGCCTCACTGTACATGTTTTATTTAATTATACACCAATGAAAATAATATAAGGCCCCGCGCGGATGGTTGGCCATAGGCCCCGCGTACCCCTAACGCCGGCTCTGCTCGCTTAGGCCAAATACGTAATTTTGTTAACAGGTGATTCGCCAACGAGCGCCTCTCCTAGACTTACCAACTGAAGTATGAAAAACCTGACCCAGGGATATATGACTTATGACACGACCATAGGGGCACCTGACCCACCCATGAGGGCACACGACCCACCCACAATGGCACCTGAACAAAACAAGGGTATATGACCCGACCATAGGAACACCTGACCCACTAAAAATGGCGACTGACCCACCCAGGGGTATATGACCCGACCATAGGGGCACCTGACCTACCCATGGGGGTACCCAGAGCCGGCGTTAGGAATACGCGGGGCCTAGGGCCAACCATCCGCGCGGGGCCTTTCCATTATATATATATATATATATATATATATATATATATATATATATATATATATATATATATATATATATATATATATATATATATATATATATGTATATATATATATATGTATATGTGTGTGTGTGTAAAAGGCCTATATAATGTGATGTACACACAATAACACACATGTTTTGGAGTTTATAAGCTAGTGTCAAACTTTCCACTATAATAACAGATTTTTATCTCTCCCATGTATTAACCCAATGTTTGTAGTTTTTTTTCCTTTGCTAAGATATTAAATCACTTTTAACAGTTATGTAATTCATACCAAATCACTTAAGAAAATTTAATCACGTGCCGAATAATTAGGAAAATAAAGTTTACAATACAGCGAACTCGGCCTGATGTATCAAAACAGTATAGACTTCAAAATTTGTTTAGAATTCATACAATATTTTAAAACCAAAATCATTATTGTCTTAATTATTGAACGGGTGAATCCTTAGGGTGACACAACATAACAACAGTTTTAACTTTCTTCCAAAAAATAATAATAAATCACTCTGTTTAATGCCGCCTGATATAGATCCTAAGCCCCCCCCCCCCCCCCGAAGAAAGTCTACCGCTCCCCCTCCCTCGAAAATTTCTAGTGCCTTCCCCCCCCCCCCCCCGGAGAAAAAAGTCTGGAAGAAACACTGTACATATTCGACATCTACAACAAGAAAGTCAGGACTAGAGTTCATCAGGTCACTAACTGTCTACTATAGACATCCCGTCTGCTCACTAAAAGGACGTCTTCATTGGTCCGTGGACAATAGGGTATCTCTTTACGTCGTGGGCTAATTCTCGACCGCCATCTCCAGTCAGCTCAGGTCAAATGCCAGGCGACCGTACCGTACCCTACACAAAGGGTAGGTGTGACACTATTTTTGTATCGAATTACGGCCTGTCCCAGTTCAGGTGGGACTCACCAACATCAACCGTGGCCTCAGTTATAACAATCAACAACGTCGGCATTCGACCATTTAGTTTTTCCCAATTGAATTCAGCAACAATTTTTTTTAAGTTTACAGACTAATTCAGATAACAATGACATTGCTGAAGCGCGGGGCCCCTTCAAGCGCGGGGCCTATGGCGACCGCCCCGTTCGCCACCCCCTAACGCCGGCTCTGGGGGTACCTCACTCACCCAGGGCACCTGACACATCCAGGGGTCCCAGACCCACTTAGAGGCCCCTGGCCCTCACATGGGGGCACCTGACCCACCCATCTTCTCCCCCCTCCCCCCTCCCCAATGCTAGTATGCACTTTAAAAAACAAACTTAACCGCCGTGAATCCAGTCTAGACTAATCTGTCTTACTGACTCATCCTGGAACAGTAAACACCTTTTGTACACCTGTAATCTGACGTCACTGCCACACAGGACAGGTAGGCCTAAAACAGTCCCGGTAAAATACTTGGGCGTCGCCCTGTGTGTAGTCCAGGCATTAAAGTATAAAATACTTAAAAAAAGCTTTTTAAAAAACCACGTTTTTCTTGTGGACTAAAAAGTAGAAAATAACTATTTACATACATTTGATGACAAAAAACGTGGGTACGTTCACCATCAAATTTCCCGACCCATCTGCCCGACCCACGTTTTTTGTCATCAAATGTATGTAAATAGTTATTTTCTACTTTTTAGTCCACAAGAAAAACGTGGTTTTTTAAAAAGCTTTTTTTAAGTATTTTATTTTCTCCTTTTTAGTCCGTTGCTACTCATGAAAAACGTGGTTTTTAAAAAGTTTTTTATATAGTTTATTTTCTACTTTATCTAATCACTTGATTAAGTATGACTTGACTAAGTGTTTTTAAATACACGGACTAAAAAAATTTTGAGCGACCGATACGCTTTAAACAGAGAAAGGGTGTAATTTACGTTGCTGGCGTGGAGATCTACTCACGAATCACGTGATCAAATCTCCCATAAACAAACAAATAAACGCGAAGCTGAGTTAAGGAAAAACGTGTTTATGTGTATTTTAGCATGCCCAGCGTACCAACCGTGTCACCGTTAACAATATGTTACCGTGTCCGTTCTCCTTTTTAGTCCGTTGCTACACATAAAAAACGTGGTTTTTTAAAAAGTTTTTTTAAGTATTTTATTTTCTCCTTTTTAGTCCGTTGCTACACATGAAAAACGTGGTTTTTAAAAAAGTGTTTATAAATACACGGACTAAAAATCTTGAGCGACCAGGATTTGAACCTGGGTTGTCGCGGCCACAACGCGAAGTACTAACCACTATACGATCACGGCCAGCGCGCTCACATCGATTGGGGCCGAAGTAACTGTGTCGATAGGCCTCCAGTCTTGTCGGTATCTTTAGAAATCATGTCCTCAATTTTATGGTCCTTGGGGCGTAATTAAATTAAGCTAATTACGGTCACTAATTGCTAGTTTTTATGATTGCATCTGAAATTGTTAGGCGAAAGTAGCATGCATGCCAAATTTCAGGTCTCTAGAGCAATCAGAAGTGGGCTAATTTTCGATGTCAATTTTAACAACAAACATCCAAACAAACAAACAAACGCGAAGCTGAGTTAAGAAAAACGTTTTAAAAAGTACTAGTCAAAACACCCGCCAGTCGGAACAAGGGAACTAACGCTTAGCCCTGTGTAAGGGGACATAACCTGTTGCAGTGAGTTGAACATTGTCTATGCGTCACTAGACAGTGATCTAGTTGTTTTAGTTTGTGAATACCGGAGTTTCTTGTGGGCGTAGAGGCTACGTTTTGTACAATTTATATTCTTTAAATCCCTGCATTTATTTAATGTTTTTTTCACTGGATTAATCGTAAACAAGACACATTTTAGGTAAGAAAATACGTTCCTTACAAATTTATTCTGCTTTTTTTCTTCAATGTTCACTGCGCACTGAACTATAATGTAAGAAGTTTTAATTAAAAAAAAAAAAAAAAAGAAGTTTTTAAAGGGTATTTTGAACGTCGCCCAATTTCTAAGTCATGCTGTAGGCCTGCTGTTAAAAAAATAAAGCTTCATTTCAATAATATCCCTAAATGTTCTCAACACCAAATCTTACTGTTTTAATTTTCTCAAACATAATATTTAAGTAGTAGGCCTAGTAAATTAACTGATACTTCACACAGCAACGCAATAACACTTATTTTTAGCAGGCCTATACATTATTATTTTTTTAACGCTATTGTGTTCAGCACTATTAAAATTTGTTTTCCATTCACTCCAAAACTTCGTGCTTCAGGGGCCGCTACTCTAGTGGGTGTTACGGGCCTTTCCTATGCAGGGGGGTAATACCAGAAAACAAGGGCACAGAACTCCAGCCTACACTCTACTTAATGAATAACAAACTCGATTGAGTCAGCAGACAGGTTAGCTGGTCTTTAAAGGCAAGCATGGCTGTCTTGTCTAGTCAGAGGTAGAGTTGTCTTGTCTAGTCATAGGTAGAGCTGTCTTGTCTAGTCATAGGTAGAGCTGTCTTGTCTAGTCATAGGTAGAGCTGTCTTGTCTAGTCATAGGTAGAGCTGTCTTGTCTAGTCATAGGTAGAGCTGTCTTGTCTAGTCATAGGTAGAGCTGTCTTGTCTAGTCATAGGTAGAGCTGTCTTGTCTAGTCATAGGTAGAGCTGTCTTGTCTAGTCATAGGCAGAACTGTCTTGTCTAGTCATATACATGGCTGTCTTGTCTAGTCATAGGTAGAGCTGTCTTGTCTAGTCATAGGTAGAGCTGTCTTGTCTAGTCATAGGTAGAGCTGTCTTGTCTAGTCATAGGTAGAGCTGTCTTGTCTAGTCATATACATGGCTGTCTTGTCTAGTCATAGGCAGAACTGTCTAGTCTAGACCAGAAGCGTAGTAACCCTTCCCGGCACCCGGGGACAAACTTTCAATTTGGCGCCCCCCTTGGAAGTAACCTTTCAATTTTTAATTTGCACCCCCTCAAACTTTCGATTTGCATCCCCCCTCAAACTTTAAATTTGCACCCATTTTGGCGCCCCTTAAGGTCGGCGCCCTGGGACATATGTACCACTCCGCCCCCGCCCCCCTTGCTACGCCTCTGGTCTAGACAAACCGAGCTGTCTCATCTTCAAATATAGACCAATTTAACAAGGTTTTACCAGGTGACTAATACTAGAACTGAAACACATAGACAGTCCCACCGAACCCCAAACTCCCAACATATAAACACTGCTATTTTTGTAATTTGTTCTACATTTATTCAACCCCATAATTAAAATACTGCAAGTGTACAGAAATAACTAGGCTAAAGTATTTCTTACACTGGATCTATGCGCAACAGTTGAACAAGTGGAGGAAGTGGAGAGTGGGGTGGGGGGGGGGGGGGTGGGGGACGGAAACTGGAGGCTTCTAACACAAGTGTGCTCAGACATTGGAGGGAGGGGGGTGGAGTGCTCAACTTCACTGGGGAAGTTAGTTCTCTGAATTTTGGGGGAAAGGGTACTTATTTTTTACTGGTGAGGGGTTGGAGGGGGGGGGGGGAGTGCTCAACTTCACTGGGGTACTTATTCTCTAATGGCGGGTGCTCAAACTTCACTTGTTTTATGTCGGTGTGTGTGTGTATGTGGAGTGAAAGGGAGGGGGGGTGTTGCATGACGTTGCAACATGAGTCCCTAGGAGTCTGAGTACAACGGAAGTGACAGACTTCCAACATTTGTTTTATGTTGGGGTAGGGGGTCGGTTGCTCATCCTACATCATGCGGGGAAGGAATGGGGGGGGGGGGAAGACCTTCAAATTAGAGGGTGTATATATAATATAAGCTGAGGCAAAACAGAAATGTTAGAGTAAAAAGATAAATAAAATATACAGAAAAAATCAAATAAAACAGAATATGCTACTGAACAAGGACAGTTGTGTGAGTTACATTCACTGTGTGATCCGGACTATAACCAGCAGTCTTTATCTCTAACGACTCAAGTACGGGATTTGAACACGAGACATTTAGGTTAGCAGCCGTACGCTCTACCTTCCTACCACACTGCCTCGATACGCTAACAGTAAAAAGGCCTATTTTATAAATACAGATGTAGGTGGCATAAAACATATGTTTGAGACACCAAGTTTTAAGAAAGTGATTGAGACTCACACTTCACCAGAGGAGGCAAAGAGTCGGAGGAAGAGGGCTTGTATAGGTAGGACAAAATGTTATGAAATGAACTCTTTTATTTTTAAAAAATATAAACATATCGTATGGAGTTGTTATTTTCAGTAAGTAGCCTATTGATTTCCTGTGTATGTGTAGCAACACTACCAAACAAAACCCCCAGTAATTGATTGGATGATTTTATACGTTTTAATTATAATTATTAAATTATCAAAACAAGTCAAGAAAGTGTTCAAACACAATTTCAAATGAAAAAAACCTGATGCATCAATAAATGAAATTTGTATATAAAAAGTATGTCGCTGAACAAGAACCAGACATACTAAATCGTTGTACAGCATACATACACATCTGAAAGGAAACTGCCTCCAAGTCTGAGCAATTCGCACGACTTTTAAATGCTTCGTATTGATTTGTACAAGATTTCTACAAGACAACTCACCCCCTACATTAGTAGCAATGTCGGACAAGTTTAAAAATAGACATCTTAAAATATAACATTTAGTCTTTTAAAAATTTAATAGAAAAAAAAAGTGAGCCCAGAGAAGCTATTTTGATCTTTGCATACCTTGGTTGCTTAGAAAAGGGGGGAAAATTTTTCTGGACGCAACTCAATTTTGATTTGATTGATCAGGAAGTTTATGTTTTGCCTGAGAAGTGTTGTGACGGTTTAAAAAACGAGCGAGCCCTCCCTCCCCCCCCTCTTCCTCACAACGTGTCAAATTACACAGCAGACATGTTACGTAATTATAGAACAGCACAGAAAAACTTGGTGTGCATGCTGAAACTAGTTCCAACGGTTACAATTTTTATTTCCAGCCAACGCCCTAAATAAATGCCAGATTTTGCGATATCTCGGTTGGGTACAATTGGCCTCATTTTTATCTGGCACAATGGAGGTGATTTTTCCTGCTACTGGGGTTAAATTCTCCGAAATAATATCAACCAACTGCTTCATTCAACTAAACAAGATTATTAATCAAGATGAATAAAATTATAAATCTGAAATAATTATTGTAATTAGCATTATAAAAATTAATACTAATAACAAAATTAAAAATTGAATTACAATTTTATAGGAATAAATTAATTCATGAACTACATGAGGCTAGCTCATATGAATTATTTTGTCCCTCAAAAAATAAGCTCAAAAATCCTCAGTATAATGCAAATATTCGCAGTTAGAAAATGGCGTATATGTTCATTTATATCGCAGGAGTGTAGTGAAGTTGGACTTTATGTTCGGTTAGAATGCTTTAAAGGTTGCCCAGAGGCTACAATCTGCTGTGATGACACGATATAGCTAGGCTATCTATCTGTGTACACACAAATCAACACAAATCACAGTTTACTGTGTACTAGAATAATCGTAACACGCATTAAGTTTATCACATAGCTACAAATACAAGATCTTCAGTTGGTGGTACATTGAATGTACCCTATAGCCAAACATTAGAACCTCAGTTGGTGGTACCTTGAATGTACCATGAAGCCAAAATTTAGAACCTCAGTTGGTGGTACCTTGAATATACCCTTTAACCAAACTTTAGAATCATAGTTGGTAGTAACTTGAATGTACCCTACTGCCAAACTTGAGAACCTCAGTTGGCGGTACCTTGAGAGCACCCTGTGGTCAAACTTTAGAACCGCTCAAGCTAACAGCGTGAATCTAATACGTGTGTACTACGGCGGGCAGACGACAGAACGGTTCAGTGTAAATGTGAAGGCTGCTAGAGTGGGGGAATATAGACGCGCTGATTCTAGCCTGTTGGTAAACTAGACGTGATTTATTGATGTGTTATCGTCTGCTAAGTATGAAATATTAATTTTATTGTGTTAGACAATTTTGTTTTAGCGTAATAGTTCATTAAGGGCGACGCATATGTGTGCAACCGTGTTAATTGTGCAGCCGTGATTATTGTAGAGCCCTGATAATTGTGTAGCTGTGATGATTGTGCGGCCGTGATGATTGTGTAGCCGTAATAATTGTGCAGCTGTGATAATTATACAGCTGCCATGATTGTACAGCGGTTATAATTGCTTTTCACAGCCGTGATAATCGTGTGTACATCCGTGACATGTGCTATATACAGCCGTGATATATTTATGTGTGCACCGTGCTATATATTGTGTATAGCCGTGGTTATTTACAGCCTTGATATTTTCTGTATATAGACACAATAATGCATTCACAGGCATATTATATGCTGTCTACAGCCGTGATATGTGAACAGCCGGGATGTTTTCTGTGTGCATCTGTTGTTGTAGTTGATTGTTTTAAAACTGTGTTTGCTGGGAGTTGACTACAGCTGTTATGACTTCTGCTTTCTACAGCCGTGTTTGCTGTTTCGTGCACGGCTGTTTACAGCTGTTTTCTGCAGCTGTGCTGAGTCCTGCATATCCCGGCTGTCGTTAATCCCACCAACCAGTTTATCAGGTAACTTAATCTGCTGTTGTAAATAGTTTCGATACGAACACAGTCACTGGCACACGTCGCTGTTGTGTTGATATCGCCTTGATACTGATAGCAGGTTGATAAAGCTAATGGCAGGTTGATAAAATAATGTTGATAGGAGAGGGCCAAAGTCGTTGATAAATGTTGTAGGCCTACCATAGGACCAAACTTAAGTTGACAAATGTTGATAGTATAGGACCAAATTTAAGTTGATAAATATCGATGTCATAGGACCAAATTTTAGTTGATAAATATCGATGTCATAG